TCGTAAAGTCCGGTTTGTGAATAGATTTCCACACAATGGTTTGTATTGGCCCCGAATATATTTGTATAATGTTATCATATCCCCTCTCAGGCGACGTTTTTCTAAACTAAATAGGTTTTAATTTGTTAACCTTTCTTCATAGCCGATATGTTCCATTCCTTTTATTAATTTTGTAGCCCGCCTCTGCACTTTTTCTAGTGCCATAATATCCTTCTTTAGAACAGGTGCCCAAAATTGTACAGCATATTCAATATGGGGTCTTACCAGTGATTTATAAAGAGGCAAAATTATATTCTTGTCCCGAAAATGAATGCCGCACTTTCGGCTGCGCCCGACGACACCTTACAACCTTAGCCACTGCTTCGACGGCTTATTTGCGGTTGTTGTCTGTAACAATTTCAGTCCTTTTCATGTGGTATCTAATTCCACTTCTAATGCAGGGTATCGCGTTGCGTAGCATTCTTTACGCCGAAGTTCATAACTTTGCATTTTTCAACATTAAATTTCATCTGCCATTTGAGTGCCCAGTCCCCCAGTCTATCTAAATCCCTCTGCAGCAAAGTAATATCTTGATCACATTGTATTGTTTTACAAAGTTTGGTGTCATCTGCAAACACTGAAACATGACTTTCAATGCGGTCTTCAAGATCATTTATAAACATGTTAAATAGAAGGGGTCCCAGAACAGACCCCTGAGGGACACCACTTGCCACCTCTGTCCAGCTTGAAAATTTACCATTAATGACAGCTCTTTGTACTCTGTTTTTAAGCCAATGTTCTACCCAAGAACAAGCATTTTCATCTAGACCGATTTCCTTGAGTTTGAACACTAATCTATTGTGTGGAACTGTATCAAATGCCTTGGCAAAATCAAAAAAGATCACATCCACGGCAACACCCTGATCTATACTTCTACTTACTTCTTCGTAGAACGCAATCAAGTTAGTTTGACATGACCTGTGATTCATAAAACCATGCTGATTTTTGCTGATAACCATGTTCTTCTCAAGGAATTCTTGAATATTATCCCTTAATAACCTTTCAAATATTTTCCCAGCCACAGAAGTTAAGCTCACAGGTCTATAATTTCCAGGCAAGGATTTTGAACCTTTTTGAATATAGGAACCACATCTGCCTTCCTCCAATCCTCCGGAACACTTCCTGAAAGAAAAGAATCTTGAAAGATTAAAAACAGAGGTTCACTTATTTCTGCACTTAGTTCCTTAAGTACAAGTGGATGGATACCGCCAGGCCCTGGAGCTTTGTTTATATTAACTTTTTTTAGTTGCTGCAGCATCTTGTCTTGAGTTAACCAATTACAATTATTCTGCACGTTTTAGTAGCAATCATTTGCACATCTATTGCCATGGGTTCTTCCTTAATATATACGGAGGAGAAAAAGTTATTTAAAATTCCTGCCTTTTCCTGGTCTTCATTAATTAACACCCCCGTTTCAGTTTTTAGTGTACCTACACTTTCATTTTGAGGATTTTAGAATTTATGTACTTAAAAAATGCTTTGTGGTTGGTTTTGTTCTCTTCAGCTATCATTATTTCATTTTGAAGTTTAGCAAGTCTAATTGCCTTTTTGCACGCATTATTTGCATCCTTATATCTTTTATAAGATGCATCTGATTTGTCCGATTTAAATGCTTTAAATACCCTTCTCTTAGTTGTAATCTCTTGTTTTACTTCTCTACTAAGCCACATTGGTTTTAATTTTTTTTCTTTTATATTTATTTCCCAACGGTACATACTGAGAAATGTACCTTTGTAATATTTGTTGGAAGATGATCCATTTATCCTCAGTGTTCTTTTCACTAAAGAGTTTATGCCAGTCAATATATTGTAAAGCTTCCCTTAACTTATTGAAATTGGCCTTTTTAAAATTATATGTTTTTAGTATTCCCCATGTGCTTTTGTTTTTTTGAGTTTATTTCAAAGGACACTATATTGTGATCACTATTTCCCAAGTGCTCACCTACTTGAATGTTGGTCAAAAGATCAACGTTGTTTGTTAAAACCAGGTCCAGACAAGCATCCATTCTAGTTGGTGCTTGTACAAGTTGTGACATGAAGGTGTCATTTAACAAGTTTAAAAACCTAATTCCCTTTGCTGAGGCACTAGTCCCTCTGTCCCAATTTATATCCGGGTAATTAAAATCTCCAATAATTAAAGTGTTACCCAGATTTGCAGCTTTCTCAATTTGCTCAAACAGCTGTTGTTCCTCGTCAATATTAACATTAGGTGGTTTATAACATATCCCAACCAATAGTTGGTTTCCCTTCTTTTCCCCCAAGCAGATATTTACCCATAAAGCTTCCACATTATCCTCCTCGCATTCCATTTGCTTAACATTTGGCTTTAAATCATGTTTGACATACAAACATACCCCACCACCCTTCTTGTTTTTCCTATCCTTCCTAAATAACATGTACCCATTTAAGTTAGCTGCCCAGTCATGTGTCTCATCCCACCATGTTTCAGTTATGCCTATTATATCATATTGTTTAGTGTATGCTAATGCCTCTAGTTCCCCCATTTTGTTATTTAGGCTCCTTGCATTAGTAAGTATACATTTAATATTATGCATCACTTGTATATTTTGTGAATTTTCAACATTACACAGCTTCTCTGTTCTGAGCTTGCCCCTCCCCCCGTTTCCACCCCCTTATACTGTGCTAAAGCCCATCTCCTTTCTGTCCTATCTCCATTTTGTAGATTGCTATGACCCTCCCCCCCTACTACTAGTTTAAAATCTCCTCCAACCTTCTAGCCATCCTATCCCCAGCACTGCAGACCCTCTCCCGTTTAGGTGCAATCCATCACCACTATAAAGGTTGTACCCAATCGCAAAGTCGGCCCAGTGCTCTAAAAACCCCAAACCCTCCTTCCTGCACCAAGACTTAAGCCACGCATTGACCTCTCTAATCTCCCGCTGCCTTTCCACTGTAGCACGTGGCACAGGTAATATCTCAGAGAATACCACCTTGGAGGTCCTTTTCTTAAGTTTGCTACCTAATTCCCTGAAATCATTCTTTAGGACCTTCCATCTTCCTCTTACTTTGTCATTGGTACCAACATGGACCATGACCGCTGGGTCATCCCCAGCCCCTCCCAATAATCCATCCACTCTGTCAGCAACATGCCGGACCCGAGCACCCGGGAGACAGCAAACTGTCCGGTTGAGCCGATCAGAGCGGCAGATTGCCCTATCTGCTCTCCTAATGATAGAGTCCCCTACCACCACAACCTGTCTTGCCTTCCTTACATTTTGATCCCCACCCGTACTAGGGGGGCTGTTAGCTCGGCTGTTAGAAGTAACAGCTTCCTCTAATAAAGCTACTCCTGAGCTGATGCTCCCAACATCTTCCCTCAAACGGGCAAATCTGCTAGGTTGCACCAAATCAGGACTAACTAGCCCTTTCCTCTTCCCTCCCCCCCTGCTTCCTCGCCCCACCGTCACCCAGTTACATGCCTGTTCCCCATCTGTCTTATCTCCTCCCTCTCCACTACCTGTCCCCACTAAACTCTGCTCAGTGAGCAGTAGACTCCTCTCAAGATTGTCAATCTCCCTCAATGTTGTGATTTGCTTCTCGAGATCTCCAATCTGAGCTTCCAGAGAAGCCACTCGCACACAACCATCACAGAGGTATGGACCCTGGACGGGTACATCCAGGCATCCATACATGCAACAAGATGTGCATTGAGTTAAACCAGCAATCTTGCTAACACTCATTTCCCCTTTAAACAGTAAATAAAACCAATTACCTTGATAGTATAAACCCCTTGTTCATTTCAACTCCTGGTTTTCTAACTCCTACTTGAAAGAGTCTACTTAATAGAGGCTGCTTTCAAATAATGGGCTATCTCCCACCATGCACTGCTTGACTAGAGAGATAATCACCCAAGAATGTATTATTAATGGGATTATCTCCTAGTACAGTAAAATACAGCTTTTTACATAAAAATCCATAACTGGCATAATATTCCTGACATGTAGTTAAAATACCCCTTGTTGCATAGCTGGCATCTGGCATCATTGAGTGAACTAGAGCTCAGATCCCTGCACAATTAAACGAACGCCGTTCGAATTACCATTCAAATTACCTGTTCAGACCAACCAGCATTGAAATGAATGAACTGACTGAGGGGGTGAAACTCCCGAAAGAACCGATTTCCTGAACGGCGTTGGAAATCCAGCAGGACTCGTGCCGCCGAGTAGCCTCCCAAGATGAACAGACAGCCTGTGAGTCAGTCAGTCGCCACTGGTGGACTGCCTTTCTACTGAGGAAGCCAGCAAGAACCATGTGACAGCTGATATTAGCATGCACTCCTGAAGTCAAGCATCAGCCAGAATGTAGAACCATTGTGTCTTCCTGACTGACATTGTGTCTTCCTGGACTGTCCCAAGTATACCAGTAAATGTGCAGTACACTGGTCTTGGTGTAAATGGAGAACTTCTAGCTGGCAGCTAGTGACAGGTTGTAACGGATCACCTGGCACCCCGACTGGGTACCTCCATTGAAGAATGCTCCTAGTGCTTGCTGAGGGCTCCAAGCACTCCAGCAGACACCTCCAGGCACTGGACGCTACTCAGTCTGTAACCGAATTGGGAATTAGCTCTAGTCCTTACAAGGACTCTCCCTGGTGAATCTCCTGTAAGCTGGAACAGCAGATACAGGAGCAAATCTTCCCTCCAATAACAGGACGACACACAGTTTTGGAGTGTAAGCAGGAACAGTCTGAGCTGTGGTTTTATTGCTTCTTTTATACAGGTTTTTACACAATGTTACCACCCACAAGGTTTTGTGGCACAGCCAATCAAATACAATATAATACAGTTAAACACTCCCAGTTAGGACACACAAACCCTGTGATATAATTACTGTACACAATGGGTTAACTTAATTATCACAGGCAGGAAAATATACAGTTTCATACAATATTCATAACTCCTAAACTATACATGCAATCTCCATAAAAGTACATATTCTAAATCCGCATACTCCAAATATAAACATACTCAGAAAATCAAACAATTCCCTCCAGTGGTTTAAAAGTTAGGTGGAAGTCCTTTTTGACCGGTCAATTTCACACAGAAAAATTACTAAGTCCCATTCGAATGCATGAACGGGTAAATTGCCTGCATACTTCCACTTGCATGTGGTCCGCCTGTTCGGTAATTGGTTCGGTAAACCCCAATTACAGAACCATATAAGAAAAGGACACGAACAAAGTATTTTAATGGTCTGGGGACACAGTCTTAAAGGGGCATTGTTCCCAAAAGTCTCAATATGCCCCAATAACAGTTTTAAAGAGGCATACACCAAACAGGCATATAATTGTGATGAAATGTCACTGGGGATGTGGATCTGTCACTTCAGACAGGCATCCTCACTGACACCAGGGCGATGCTATATCTCTCACAGCTAGTCTCAATGTGTATGCTCATCTTCCAATGTTTCCTCTAAAGACAATGGGCAGGTATCTTTCCTTCTACCCATGCTTCCTTCTCCCAGGCAGGTAGCTATCTTCTGTCTGCACTTCCTCCAACTACTAACTTTACAAAGGTACTTTCAGCTCTTAATTCTTGCTCTTTCTTAATATGTCCTTTGGACCTCGGACTAGTGCAGCCAGCATGCAGGTCCATAAACTCTGCTACTGGAATCACCAAACAAACAAGACTGGACACACAGTTCCCAACAGAACTACCACAAAAAAATTTTTACATTCAGAAATAGCCCTACATTACAAATATGGCAACCCACTCGATCCAGTACATAAAACATAACCACATGGGGAATCATACAGGCACTCATATAACATAAACCAATATTTATAAATGGGTGGTGAAGACATTCACATATGGCACAGTCTCACTATGACTCACTCACTTTTTTGAGACATGTGCACGTTTTTATATTTTAAGTGAGGTTAAATACTGAAAATACATGAGTAATAGTAAAATATGCATCCAACAGGTACCTTAGCTAGGTACAGACAATCAACACATATTCAGAAATCACGGCAGTGTCACGTCTAAGATATGCAGTACGGTAGGCAGAGATGCCAGACACACGTTAGTGTGCTAGTTAGTTAGCGTTATACCCCTGCTATACACATTGAGAATTTAACCTGTTGTGTTGTCCGAGTATGGTTAACTGTAGCAAGGTAGGGTTAGCGATGCGTTACCGTGTTAGATTAGCTACACTAGTATAATCGTGTCATGTTAGCGTGTCTAGCACTATATTAATAGATAGGTAGTGTGTGATGCAGGGAGGAGTCACCCCATTAATGTATAGGCTACATCTCGTTGGGTGACGGATATCTTCCCTAAAGCTTGTGTACATTGTAGAAAGCAATCTGGAACACTCGTAGTATGACTGATTTTAAGCTTGCAGTAAACATAAGAGGCAAACCATTAATCTCAGGCTAAACCCACTTGTCTGTACAACATTCAAGTGCTTTGCGTTTGAACTGATCTGGCTAGCTAGCTACTGAAACTTAACACACTAAATAACATACATAGTGAACAGATGAAACAAAACGTTATTGGCTATGCTATGCAATCTAACGTGTTATTCTCTGTGTTATACAAAGCAAGCTAGGTTATCCGAGCATCTGGGTATACTCAGAGTTCTCTTGGTGTGAGCAAAGGCTCTGGCTGGAAGCCGGATGGGAGGGAGCCCCCCCTCCCTCAGCCGATGCCCGCTCAGGAGGCCGTGGTTGCGGTTCCAGAGCAGGGCACCGGCAAAGGGATAAGGCCTGCATAAATATTTCTAACATGGGAACTGAAGAATCAAACGATGTATCATAAAGAATAAAAAATAAAGAAAAATAAAATAACAGTGCTCAAGCATCGGCACTGCTGCCGCTGTAGATAGCTTGAGTGTCTCTATAATGAGAATTAGGCAAAGGCCCGGGCACAATATAGGTTGCACAAATGAGGATTATCCTGTAGCAGGAAAAACGCAGACTGTCACTGGGGGGTTTTCGCGGCATCTTCTGCCTTCTTTTCGGTCTGCTTGTGAAGGTCCGTCTCTGGATGTTGTGAGAACGGCTGAGTAGAGTTCCCATGCCTTCTGTGCTGTAAGTCCTTGTGTCTCCGATTGAAAGAGGTTATAGTTCCTGCATTATGGGCCGAATCGTTGGTTTTTGAGTGTGCAAGTCCGGGTTGTGTCCCCGATGCCCGTTCTGGTGGCTTTGCCTGTGGGGTGATGGATATCCGTCTCAGGTGGTGGCCGTGGCGTAAGAGTCCATCTGTGGCCTCCGGGGAGTGAACTCTGGGGCCTTCGCGTTTTGTCCTCTGAGTGAGGGCTTAAGGCCTGTTGGTTGTGTCGGTGGGCATGGTGGATCCGTGGGTAGGTTAAGTAAGCCCAGTGTCTCCTTGGCCTCCTGCATATCACGGACCACATGTTTGGTACCTTCCTTGTCGATGAGAAGTGAGTGGCCCGGTCCCCAGCGGTACCGGATTTGATGGAGCCTCAGTAGGGCCGTAAAAGTATTCATGGATCTTCTCCATGCTAGTGTCGCGCCCGAGAGGTCGTTGTAGAAAGAGAGGGTCATCCCCTCAAAGGGGTAAGTTGACAGACCTCTCGTGGCCTCCTGGACCGCCTTTTTGTCCCTGGCTAATTGGAACTGAACGATTAAGTCCCCTGTGGCGGCGGGTGGGGCCTTTGCCGGCCGTGGTATGCGGAACAGACCCTCCAGGTTGATTGCTTTTGCTGCCTTTGGAGTTAGTAGCTCGGTAAGGAGACGTCGGACAAAATGTGGCAGTTCGGCCTCTGGTACGGAGTCCGAGACTCCTCTGAGCTTTAGATTATTGCGGCGTTGCTTGTCTTCCTGGGCAGCTAGTTGCTGTTCGTGCTGCCAGGATTTCTGCTGCAGGTCTCGGATTGCCGCTTGGATGTCTGCGATCTGGGCAGTGTGGCTAGTGGTGGAGGCTTCCACTGCTCCCAGCCTGACTGTAAGGCCCCTGATGTCTTCTCTAATTAGGGCTACGTCAGCCGCAATTTTCCTGTGGTGATCTGCCATGAGCGCCCCAATAGCCTCCATGGTCACGGGGGTGGGGGCTTTCATGTGCTGCGGCTCCCCAGATGCAGGAGGATTTGGCATGGCCATCAAGTGGTTTCCCCCTTCATCATCATAGGGAATAAACAAAAAAAGAAACAAATGCCATTCTACCTGTGTATGATTTACTGAGAAGATTGTAGATTAAAAAGTAACTTTTAATAAATAAATCTAAAATAAGAATATAAAAAAGAAAAATAATATGAACAGCAGGAGTAAATGGAGACTATACAGCGAGTAAAACTCTGTGACTACTTATATAAGCTGTAAAAGTGTATACATAATAACACTAATGCTGAAGCAATACTGTTTAGCTACAATATAACATCAGTGTATTCCCAATAGTGATGTCGCGAACCCGAAATTTTCGGTTCGCGAACGGCGAACGCGAACTTCCGCAAATGTTCGCGAACCGGCGAACCGCCCGAAACGCCATTGACTTCAATGGGGAGGCGAATTTTAAAACACACAGGGACTCTTTCTGGCCACAATAGGGATGGAAAAGTTGTTTCAAGGGGACTAACACCTGGACTGTGGCATGCCGGAGGGGGATCCATGGCAAAACTCCCATGGAAAATTACACAGTTGATACAGAGTCTGGTTTTAATCCATAAAGGGCAGAAATCACCTAACATTCCTAAATCACAATCAATATGGATTGACA